AATTCTATTGGTCTAAGAATCACCTCATTTGGAGTTTTTTTAGAAAGAGATATGGTCAAAATACTGAAACATATACGAATGAAGCTATCACCATACTTGCACTGATTTTCATCAAATGAGTCTTTTTCATCAATTTCCTACAAAAGCCATAAGAGAAATTAGCAATAACTACTCTTAAAGTAATTTAAAATAAAATAACTTAAAATTTAACTAAAATAACTTAAATTAATCACTTAACAAGTAATCAAACTTAAACTAAAAAAAAACACCTATAATGCTAAAATTCGAACCTAAAATCTCAAAGATCTAGCTACTTAAGCTCCCAAAATGACTCAAAATAACTCTATATAATAGAGTTATCAGTCATGTTCAGTGAACTTGTTCCAAAAGCAAACATCCACATTCTAGTTTCATGCATCTCTATACTTAAACTTACGAGATTGATTGCTTACTTCTTAAGTAAAGAACATAGAATGTACTAGTCTCGAAGCATCATTGATATCTAGTCTTAATGGTACATCGACCAAGAACATTTAATAATTATGCTTTGATGCATAAGGATCTTATAATTGTAACACTTTACAATTTCCTTGCAAGGCATATTAATATCATGGACTTCATCCAATAAACTTATAATCATTGTTTCATTGATGATGGAAAACCTTTAATCATTTAGCATGAATGATATGATTGCATGATTGGATGTAAGCCTTGACCAATCCAATTGGCTGTAGGGCTCATTTTAACAACATCCACAATGACTATCCATAATAACAATGCATAATAACCAAACTCTGATATCCAACACATAATGTTATACAAAACCACATAATCACAAGCTAGCTAAGTATCACACATAAAAGTTTACCATAAAAATCTAGCTCAATGTAAAGACCCATTAAACTTATAGTTAGCCTTTCTTCTCCCCCCTTTTTAGCATCATCCAACAAGGAAATCACTTTTAAAACCAGACCTAAATGAAACTGCAGGCTAAGTTATTTTGATGAAGCTAGTGTGGTAGGATGCCAAGGAAGGTATAAGATGTTAGGGTTTTGTTGCCATGGTTTCTTTGATCTAATTTCCTCAACTATAGTTTGTTGTCATTTTTCTTCTACTTTAATGTCTGCCTGCTGAGGTTCAGTTTCTTTCTAAACTTCTTTAACTTCTTCTATTGCATGTTCTTTTTTAATTTCTTGTAGAGAAGGTTCCTTTTTAGCCTCTTATGGTGCAAGTTCCTTGTCAGTTTATTATGGTACAAACTCTTTTCTAGGATAGCTTACATCTAACAAAAAATCTTCAATTCTAATTACGTTCTCCTATAGCTTGTTAAGCTGTGCTAACCTATCAGTTAACTTACAATCGATTCTCATCATTAAATTAAATAGAGTTTCCATTGATGGTGTTCTTGATTGGCTCTAGTAAGAGAAGTGGAGGCTTGCCTATGTAGTTTTTGTTCCAAAGTGCCTATGTAGTTTTTGTTCCAAAGTGCCTATGTAGTTTTTGTTCCAGAGTATTCTTTTGGAAATTTAACCCATTAAAATTCCTTTTGAGGGTAATTTATCTTCTTGAGGCTACCAAGATAATATAGATCAACCTTTTAAGAAGTCAAGTTAGCTAAGAATTTTTCACTCTAAATTCCTTCTTTTTTAACCATTTTGGTAATGATATTTCCATAAGGCAAGGTGGTTTTGTCTTTCCTACACGCTTTCTTCATTCTTTCAATCATAAACTTAGATACATTAAGTGGAGTATTAGTAGTTGCACATCTTAAAATCTATAAATGTTGAATTGTCACATAGCTATAGCTACTTGCTTTACAAAGTAGTGAATTTGCAACAAAGTGATAAAGCAACCTTATTTCTAGGTGTTTGATCTCAACAGCAAAGCTCTTGGATGGGTATCTTTCTTTCTTTTTAGTGATTACCCTACAAATAGAATCAAGGTCAAAACCTTTTAGAAATTCAAAATCTCCATCTCTGAACTTTGTTTTCAATAGTTTCCCTAAATCGTTAAGGGTAATAACAAACTTTTTCCCATTCACATATGCACTCAGCTCATTATTCTTAGAATTCCTCTTATCTATGTAAGTCCTAGGATAGAATTCTTTAACTAATGTAGGGATATACTTAAAATCATTAATAGCACTAGTCTTTCTAATTTGAGGTTTTGAAAAAGTTTAAGAGCTTGATTATATATGGGAAATTTAGCAAACCTCAACCAATCAACATTTTTTACACAAGTGATTGCAATATTTTCAATTTTCTTAAACTTTTCATCGTGCATTTGTTTTTGAATGGGGAGGAATTGCTACTTGTAGTGGCTTTTGAACTAATGGATTTCTTTCCCATAAATGTTTAGAGGTAGACAAAGCAAAAATTGAAACAATTGAAAAACTTGCACCTCCTACCTTTGTTAAAGGTATTCATAGTTTTTAGGACATGCTGAATTCTATAAGAGATTTGGTAGAGATTTTTCTAAATTTTCAGACCACTTTATAGTTTGTTAGAAAAAGATACTCTTTTTAATTTTGATGATGTTTGCCATGATGTTTTTGTTGAATTAAAAAAGTAATTAGTTTTTGCTCTTGTTATCATTGTTCCTGGTTGGAATCTTCTTTTTAAACTAATGTGTGATGCTAGTGATTATGAGGTTGGTGTAGTTTTAGGTCAACGAAAAATGAAGATTTTGTATCTTATTTATTATGCCAACAGTATAATGAATGAGGCTCAAGAAAATTACACCACAACTGAAAAGGAGTTGCTTGCTATTATGTTTTTTTTTTTTTGATAAATTTCACTCTTGTCTTGTTAGTACTTAAGTCATTGTTTACATTGACCATGCTACTATTAATTATCTGATCGAGAAGAATGATGCAAAACCACACTTGATAAGATGGGTACTTTTGCTTCAAGAATTTGACTTGGAAAATCAAGATAGGCAAGGTGCAGAAAATCAAGTGGCAAATCATTTATCTACATTGGAGAATGGAGAACAAGTTGGTAATTCAATTGTGATAAGTGAAACCTTTCTGATGAGCAATCGTTTCATGTAGAAAAGCAAAAAAAAAAAATTTAACATGGTGTGTTGATTTTGAGAATTATCTGATAAGTAAACTCTTCCCTTTTGAATTTAAATCTCAACAAAAAAAAGAAATTCTTGAGTGATGTTAAATACTACATGTGGGATGAGCCTTTTTTTACAAGAATTTTGGACATCAAATAATTAGAAAGTTTGTTACTTAAGAAGAATTTGAAAATATTCTTTATCATTGCCATTCATCTGATTATGGAGGACATTATGGGAGAAAATGAACTATTGTAAAGGTTCTACAATTAAGATTTTGCTGACCTTCTCTTTTCAAATATGCTC